ACCACACAGCTGATCCTAGGGTCAGCTGTGCAGCACTGCCCCTTTGAAATGCCAACTGACCCTGGGTTCTGAGGAAATGCTGCGTGGTGCCTATGGTCAGCTGGGGAGTCCCCAGCTGATGCCGGATTCCGCTGAAATGCGGCGCGGAGCCCAGGATCAGCTGGAGCTCCACGTGGCATTTCAAATTGGAAGCACAGCATGGAGCCTGGGGTCAGCAGGGAACTTTCGCTTTGAAATGCACAAGAGTCCCCACTGAGGACTCTTGTACACTTCAAAGCTGGCAAGCCCGTGTGCAGCCCGGAGTCAGTGGGACTTCCTGCTGGCCCCAGGCTGCACGCGAAGTTCTGCATCTCTCCTTTGAAATGTACAAGAATCCCCTGTAAGCAGTGGGGCAGCACAGTTTCACAGGTGATTAATCAGCCCTGCAGAGTCAGTCAGCACCTTGCACCAAGCAGCTTAGAGGGAACACTGAACTGGGAGGGAGGCTGTGGCCAACAAAGAGCCCAGGCGGGCATCCACAAACTCTATAACCTGGACCAGGGCAGACCTGGCCACTTTCAGAAGAAGTCCCAACTTCTGGGAAAGGTCTCATACCAGGGCAATGTGAGCCAGTACCTGATCCGAGGAAGGATCCTGGATCCCCACTTTCTCAGAGAGGCAACGACAATGGCCATACATTCTGTAAATACTTATGGGGCCATAAAAAGGCCAAAGGGGAGGGCCATAAATTGATAATGGTCCTAGCCCATCATAAAGTAGAGGAACTGTCTGTGGTATGGTTTAATAAGAGATATGGAAATAAGCATCCTTTAGCTCATTCAGGGAGGGAACGATCAACACCAGAGTCATCATCTTGAGCTTCACCCTGGCAATGAAGGCACTGAGTTCCCTGAAGTCTAGGATGGGTCAGATCCCTCCTTCGGCCTTAGGAATCAGGAAGTACGGGGAGTAGAATCTCCTGCCTATAAATCCCCAGGGGACCACTTTGACTGCTCCTAGGTTTAGGAGCTGCTGTACCTCCTCCCAGAGGAGGTGCCCATGAGAAAGGTCCCTGAAGATGGACAGAGTTGCAGGAAGTGGACAACAGGTCTCTAAGACCCATCAATCCGAGGTTATAGACTCCCAGGCATGGTAGAAAGGGTTTTGAGAGTATACCTCTTGGTACCCTCAGGTATACCCTCAAAACCCTTGACAGGGCCCTTGAAGTTTGTTAGAAGGGCCCTGGCCCTGATCAGGGTAGGACGGGAACGGCAACTGTTATTTCTTCCGTTCCTCCCATTCTTGTTTCTCCCCCTACGTGCCCCTGCTCTTTCGCATGGTGCCTTGTTGACCTTGCCTTTCTCTCTGATAAACCGCCTGGATGACCAGGGACCCTGGAGGCATGGGAGAAGAGACGCAGTACAAAGTACCTCCACTCAACCTTTTTATCAGTCAGCGGGATGGAAGATGGGGTGTGCTAGAGGGCCATTGTGATCTTTGTCACGGTCTTGTTAATAGGTAAGACCACTCTGGTGGGGGTGCAGGACTGCAGGTTGTCAACTGTGTGGTTGAGTCCTCCAACACCCTCTCCACCTGTAGCCGCAGACTCTGGGCTAGGTGATGGAGGAGGTCCTGATGGGACCTTGAGTCCATGGAGAGCATGGAGGGGAGGGCCCCATAAAGGGCCTTGTTGGGAGAGGGTGAAGACGACCCTTTCATGTCCACCACCTCCTGGTCGTGGACCAGCGATGGGGCCTGGGAGGCTGTCAAGGAAGCCACTGCAGATGCTCTGCAGCAGGTCTGGAAAAAGATTCCTTGGGGGAAGACACTGCCCTGACGTTGGGGAACAAGTCAACGGGGTCACCGAAGGGGAAGCCCTGGTCCCTGAGTAGACCAACTCCGGCCTAGAGATGTAGCCAGACAGGAACCCCCACCTTTGCTTGCCTGGAAGCATACAGGGCACACAGAGCAGTAAAATCAGCATAGTCTTTGAAGCCTTGACAGGAGGCCTGGGTATGCTGGCTGCTGTGACCCTGGATGGCTGTAAACAGAGATATGAGGGTGATCAAGCTAATTGCTGACCTCAAGTCTGCGAGAACTGCCTTGGCTGTATATTGATACTAACACACAGCTATCCACGGGGAGAGGAATCTCCCGCCCAGTAAAGAATGTCCAGTACTCACAATTTAGTTCTCTCTCTTGCAAGTGTAAATTAAGTTGAAACTCCCTTGTAAGAACTGGCTTCACAAAGACAGACCAACACAATTTGGCATTTTAGATAAGAAAGAGGATACGGGCCCCTATGGGTATAAAGATGGGTCCAGCAGCACACTTAATCTGAGCGTCAATCTGCCATCTATCTGCTGGTCGGGTTAGGTGATTGACCTCCCGAGCTTCCACAGGAACGCCCACCTCGTATTAGTCTTTCCTAGGAATTGAGGGACCGGCCCTGGCCTGATACGCTGGAGTCGAGAGGCACAGAAGGGGGTAAAAATTGTACCTGGATGTGTCCTTTGTCTTAAGTGTACACATAGACTTAGAGCTCTTTAAAGATTAAGCTGTCACTTGGTACCATTATTTCTATTTTCTATCTTTATTTTCTTTTGTAACCATTTTTAAGGTCTATATTTACTAGCAGTTAAGAAATAGAGCAATAGCCATTGTAACCATATGATTTATAAGCTTCTTTAATAAACCTGTAACTGTTTAAGCTTTAACCTGACTCCTTCAGTTGCTGTAACAGAACCAAGCACTATTTAAAAGAACTCCAGCCGGTCATAAGGGACAGATACAGGCAGAGCTGGACATTTGGATCGTGTCGCTTCCAGAGGACAGATCCGCAGGGGCACCTCTCAGCCTTCCCTAGGCTGCTCTCTCTAAAGGGATCCTGTATCCTAGCGGTCAAAATCTGAGATGTAATAAGCTCTTCCTATAAAC